CCACCCCCACATATACGCAGATGTTTCGGTTCGGTATTCGGCCACATACATTCTAAATTTTCGCTATCGGTTTCGGCAACAGAATTTTCATTTTGGTGCACCGCTAATTGTACAGCAACAGTTGGCTCTTAGAAAAGATTCATCATCCATCACTTCTGGTTCATATGTGTATACTCAGAGCGTCTGATGCAAATGTTACAACTGGTGTGCAGAAAGGTGAGCAGGGTCCGGACTGGAGTGAACCAACTAGCAAATGGTATACATGGCATGCAACAGGGGAACACTATAGCAGAAGGTGAGCAGGGATCAGAGAGAGAGGACTGAGCAGAAATAGATCAACAGAGCTGGGAGACTGAAGCAGGAGAAACTACCAATGTCACATGTGTTGTGCAGCGTGGAAGCAATATTGTGGAAACCAGAGAGAGAGGAGGAACAGCAACCAGAGAATCAGCAGAGCTAGAGGTTAGTACTGCGTGGGGGATCGGCAGAGCTGGGCGTTAGTACTGCGTGGGGGATCGGCAGAGCTGGGCGTTAGTACTGCGTGGGGGATCGGCAGAGCTGGGCGTTAGTACTGCGTGGGGGATCGGCAGAGCTGGGCGTTAGTACTGCGTGGGGGATCGGCAGAGCTGGGCGTTAGTACTGCGTGGGGGATCGGCAGAGCTGGGCGTTAGTACTGCGTGGGGGGGATCGGCAGAGCTGGGCGTTAGTACTGCGTGGGGGATCGGCAGAGCTGGGCGTTAGTACTGCGTGGGGGATCGGCAGAGCTGGGCGTTAGTACTGCGTGGGGGATCGGCAGAGCTGGGCGTTAGTACTGCGTGGGGGATCGGCAGAGCTGGGCGTTAGTACTGCGTGGGGGATCGGCAGAGCTGGGCGTTAGTACTGCGTGGGGGATCGGCAGAGCTGGGCGTTAGTACTGCGTGGGGGATCGGCAGAGCTGGGCGTTAGTACTGCGTGGGGGATCGGCAGAGCTGGGCGTTAGTACTGCGTGGGGGATCGGCAGAGCTGGGCGTTAGTACTGCGTGGGGGATCGGCAGAGCTGGGCGTTAGTACTGCGTGGGGGATCGGCAGAGCTGGGCGTTAGTACTGCGTGGGGGATCGGCAGAGCTGGGCGTTAGTACTGCGTGGGGGATCGGCAGAGCTGGGCGTTAGTACTGCGTGGGGGATCGGCAGAGCTGGGCGTTAGTACTGCGTGGGGGATCGGCAGAGCTGGGCGTTAGTACTGCGTGGGGGATCGGCAGAGCTGGGCGTTAGTACTGCGTGGGGGATCGGCAGAGCTGGGCGTTAGTACTGCGTGGGGGATCGGCAGAGCTGGGCGTTAGTACTGCGTGGGGGATCGGCAGAGCTGGGCGTTAGTACTGCGTGGGGGATCGGCAGAGCTGGGCGTTAGTACTGCGTGGGGGATCGGCAGAGCTGGGCGTTAGTACTGCGTGGGGGATCGGCAGAGCTGGGCGTTAGTACTGCGTGGGGGATCGGCAGAGCTGGGCGTTAGTACTGCGTGGGGGATCGGCAGAGCTGGGCGTTAGTACTGCGTGGGGGATCGGCAGAGCTGGGCGTTAGTACTGCGTGGGGGATCGGCAGAGCTGGGCGTTAGTACTGCGTGGGGGATCGGCAGAGCTGGGCGTTTAGTACTGCGTGGGGGATCGGCAGAGCTGGGCGTTAGTACTGCGTGGGGGATCGGCAGAGCTGGGCGTTAGTACTGCGTGGGGGATCGGCAGAGCTGGGCGTTAGTACTGCGTGGGGGGGATCGGCAGAGCTGGGCGTTAGTACTGCGTGGGGGATCGGCAGAGCTGGGCGTTAGTACTGCGTGGGGGATCGGCAGAGCTGGGCGTTAGTACTGCGTGGGGGATCGGCAGAGCTGGGCGTTAGTACTGCGTGGGGGATCGGCAGAGCTGGGCGTTAGTACTGCGTGGGGGATCGGCAGAGCTGGGCGTTAGTACTGCGTGGGGGATCGGCAGAGCTGGGCGTTAGTACTGCGTGGGGGATCGGCAGAGCTGGGCGTTAGTACTGCGTGGGGGATCGGCAGAGCTGGGCGTTAGTACTGCGTGGGGGATCGGCAGAGCTGGGCGTTAGTACTGCGTGGGGGATCGGCAGAGCTGGGCGTTAGTACTGCGTGGGGGATCGGCAGAGCTGGGCGTTAGTACTGCGTGGGGGATCGGCAGAGCTGGGCGTTAGTACTGCGTGGGGGATCGGCAGAGCTGGGCGTTAGTACTGCGTGGGGGATCGGCAGAGCTGGGCGTTAGTACTGCGTGGGGGATCGGCAGAGCTGGGCGTTAGTACTGCGTGGGGGATCGGCAGAGCTGGGCGTTAGTACTGCGTGGGGGATCGGCAGAGCTGGGCGTTAGTACTGCGTGGGGGATCGGCAGAGCTGGGCGTTAGTACTGCGTGGGGGATCGGCAGAGCTGGGCGTTAGTACTGCGTGGGGGATCGGCAGAGCTGGGCGTTAGTACTGCGTGGGGGATCGGCAGAGCTGGGCGTTAGTACTGCGTGGGGGATCGGCAGAGCTGGGCGTTAGTACTGCGTGGGGGATCGGCAGAGCTGGGCGTTAGTACTGCGTGGGGGATCGGCAGAGCTGGGCGTTAGTACTGCGTGGGGGATCAGCAGAGCTGGGCGTTAGTACTGCGTGGGGGATCGGCAGAGCTGGGCGTTAGTACTGCGTGGGGGATCGGCAGAGCTGGGCGTTAGTACTGCGTGGGGGATCGGCAGAGCTGGGCGTTAGTACTGCGTGGGGGATCGGCAGAGCTGGGCGTTAGTACTGCGTGGGGGATCGGCAGAGCTGGGGGTTCGTACTGCGGGATCGGCAGAGGGGATCGTGGGGGGCAGAGCTGGGGGTTCGTACTGCGTGGGGGATCGGCAGAGCTGGGGTTACGTACTGCGTGGGACATCAGCAGAGCCGGGGTTACTACTGACCGTGGGACATCAGCAGAGCCGGGGTTACTACTGTGGGCGACATCAGCAGAGCCGGGGTTACTACTGACCGCGACATCAGCAGAGCCGGGGTTACTACTGACCGCGACATCAGCAGAGCCGGGGTTACTACTGACCGCGGGATCAGCAGAGCCGGGGTTACTACTGACCGCGGGATCAGCAGAGCGGGGGTTACTACTGACCGCGGGGGATCAGCAGAGCCGGGGTTACTACTGACGCGGGATCAGCAGAGCCGGGGTTACTACTGACCGCGGGATCAGCAGAGCCGGGGTTACTACTGACCGCGGGATCAGCAGAGCCGGGGTTACTACTGACCGCGGGATCAGCAGAGCCGGGGTTACTACTGACCGCGGGATCAGCAGAGCCGGGGTTACTACTGACCGCGGGATCAGCAGAGCCGGGGTTACTACTGACCGCGGGATCAGCAGAGCCGGGGTTACTACTGACCGCGGGATCAGCAGAGCCGGGGTTACTACTGACCGCGGGATCAGCAGAGCCGGGGTTACTACTGACCGCGGGATCAGCAGAGCCGGGGTTACTACTGACCGCGGGGATCAGCAGAGCGGGGGTTACTACTGACCGCGGGATCAGCAGAGCGGGGTTACTACTGACCGCGGGATCAGCAGAGCCGGGGTTACTACTGACCGCGGGATCAGCAGAGCCGGGGTTACTACTGACCGCGGGATCAGCAGAGCCGGGGTTACTACTGACCGCGGGATCAGCAGAGCCGGGGTTACTACTGACCGCGGGATCAGCAGAGCCGGGGTTACTACTGACCGCGGGATCAGCAGAGCCGGGGTTACTACTGACCGCCGGGGATCAGCAGAGCCGGGGTTACTACTGACCGCGGGATCAGCAGAGCCGGGGTTACTACTGACCGCGGGATCAGCAGAGCCGGGGTTTACTACTGACCGCGGGATCAGCAGAGCCGGGGTTACTACTGACCGCGGGATCAGCAGAGCCGGGGTTACTACTGACCGCGGGATCAGCAGAGCCGGGGTTACTACTGACCGCGAGATCAGCAGAGCCGGGGTTACTACTGACCGCGAGATCAGCAGAGCCGGGGTTACTACTGACCGCGAGATCAGCAGAGCCGGGGTTACTACTGACCGCGAGATCAGCAGAGCCGGGGTTACTACTGACCGCGAGATCAGCAGAGCCGGGGTTACTACTGACCGCGAGATCAGCAGAGCCGGGGTTACTACTGACCGCGGGATCAGCAGAGCCGGGGTTACTACTGACCGCGAGATCAGCAGAGCCGGGGTTACTACTGACCGCGGGATCAGCAGAGCCGGGGTTACTACTGACCGCGGGATCAGCAGAGCCGGGGTTACTACTGACCGCGGGATCAGCAGAGCCGGGGTTACTACTGACCGCGGGATCAGCAGAGCCGGGGTTACTACTGACCGCGGGATCAGCAGAGCCGGGGTTACTACTGACCGGGGGATCAGCAGAGCCGGGGTTACTACTGACAGCAGGATTAGCAGGCTGTACCTCCAGAGCAGCCATGGAAGGGGACCTGATCCCAGCAATGTCCCCACAATCACCTGCTCTGCCTATAACCAAGGTCTGGATGATTGCACAGTCCTATCACTGCTGAGATATATGATAGGTGACCCAGTTGGATGGGGGTCGCCTGCCCGCCTCACCTGTTATTGGAGATGAATGGCTGGGCGCGCTGTCATCGGCTTCCCCTGGCCGGAGGGGCTGCACACCGGCAGAGAAGCACCGGAAGCGTCCAGGAACAAATTACCGGACACCGAATCATAGGACACCGAATGGAATCTCCATGACAACAAGCAGCGGGTGCCGAGCGCGGGGCTCTGCAAGGAGTCGTGGAACACAGAGAATGCCGGAAGTCAGAAAGCCGAGTGAGGCGTGAAACGCACAATCCCGCCCCTAGCGGAAGCCCGCACCATGACTAGAGGAGCAAGCTGTGCGTTACAGAGCAGAGCCGAAGTGTGGTCTCCAGAAACATGGCGGCCTCCATCGTACCGTGCCCAATCTAATACAGTGGACGTGAGAGCAGACAGACGTGTGTCCGATGGAAGGATTGTAGAGGAGAGCGGACACACATGATTCCACCCGAACTGCTGGCCGTCCTGTCCGGCCCGGCTGTGCTCAGACTCCCCGACCCACTGCCGGTGCAAGAGAGTCCCGGGAGGGCCGGTGTCCGCACCTTCACCCCCCGCACAGTGCGCTTCTCCCGGGACCACCAATTCTTCGAGGTCTGGTCGCACCTGGGATCTGTACAGGGAGAGAGGGCGGGACTAAAGACAGGAAAGAAGACAATTGTCAAATCATATTCATTGTTTAATAAGTTGATCCTGCCAGAAATCAGCGAGCTCTTGTCTGCTCTCAGGCTGCCTCTCCTGCACTGAAATCCCAATCAGTCTAGAGTCCTGACTGACCTCCTCGGTTGGACTATAAAACACCTCCCCCGCTTCTAATAACAGAGCAGATTATACCTTCTCTTCAGTGTCCTATCCCTGGGTGGCATCTTCTTCTGGGCACCAGTCTTCACTTTGCAGCATAGAGGGACTGTGGCGGTGATGGAAGCTGAGCTGTGCATGTGTAGCTCCGTTTACATGACAGTGAGAAGGCAGGTAGGGATATTGTATTGCACATTACATTACATGCCTAATCTGCAATGAAGCACCTGTCTGCTCACACTATGTAACAGTGCAGCTTGAGTCCATAACATAGGGTGGGGGAGGTGTTCTGTAGTCCAACAGGGGAGAACGGAGAACACAGGCAGGGCTGACAACACTGATTGCCATTTATGTGCAGCAAGTGGCTGAGATGTCAGCTCATTACATGATGTTAGAGTATATCTATACACAAGAACAGAATATATTGCAGCTTACCGGTCCGCAGGTGTGCTGACTGAATATATTTTCTGTTTTACTTCCTGATTTTCAACAGGTGATCCTGCCGGGAACACACTTGTTGTCTTAGGGTGACAACCATAATCTGTTTAGGATGGGCAGCGTTGTCACCCTAGCCAGGAAGTGTGTTTAGATTATATAATATAGGGGGAGGTGTTTTGTAGTTCACAAAGTTAGTAGGGAACAGTGCTAACAGTCCAAAGCAGAGAGTAGGGGGTTATCTCACAAGATCTCTGGCTGGATGAACAGCTAGTGGGGTTTTTTCACTTATAGAACAGATGTAGTGCAATGCCTTCAATGTATGTGTGTACAATATATGCACAGCTTTTTTTCAGGGGGAATTCAGTTCCGGTATCTCTGGTATGTATGTAATGGCAAGGGGTGCTGGAGGGTCCATTGATGGTGGCTGCCGGAAATCTATTGTGCTGGGGGGATCTATTGTTGAGGGAGGAGTCTATTATTGCTGGCTGCTGGGAGATCTATTGTTGAGAGGGAGGCGTCTATTATTACTGGCTGCTGGGGATCTATTGTTGAGGGAGGAGTCTATTATTGCTGCCTGCTGGGGGTCTATTGTTGAGGGAGGAGTCTATTATTGCTGGCTGCTGGGGATCTACTGTTGAGGGAGGAGTCTAATATTTCTGGCTGCTGGGAGATCTATTGTTGAGGGAGGAGTCTATTATTGCTGGCTGCTAGGGATCTATTGTTGAGGGAGGAGTATATTATTGCTGGATGCTGGGGATCTGTCATTGAGGGAGGAGTCTATTATTGCTGGCTGCTGGGGATCTATTGTTGAGGGAGGAGTCTATTATTGCTGGCTGCTGGGGTTCTACTGTTGAGGGATGAGTCTATTATTGCTGGCTGCTGGGGATCAATTGTTGAGGGAGGGGTCCATTGTTGCTGGGCAATCTTATGTTGCTGGTGGAGAGGATCTACTGTTGAGGGAAAGGTCTGTTGTTGCTGGCTGCTGGGAGATCTATTGTTGAGGGCGAAGTCTATTATTGGCTGCTGAGAGATCTATTGTTGAGGGAGTAGTCTATTATTACTGGCTGCTGGGGCTGCTGGGGATCTATTGTTGAGAGAGGAGTCTATTATTGCTGGCTGCTGAGGATCTATTGTTGAGGGAGGAGTCTATTATTGCTGGCAATCTATTGTTGAGGGAGGAGTCTATTATTGCTGGCAATCTATTGTTGAGGGAGGAGTCTATTATTGCTGGCTGCTGGGGATCTATTGTTGAGGGAGGAATCCATTGTTGATTGCTGCTGGGGAACTATTGTTGAGGGAGGGGTCCATTGTTGGTGGGCGGTCTTATGTTGCTGGGGGGATCTATTGTTGAGGGAGATGTCTATTATTGCTGGGAGATCTATTGTTGCTAGGGGTCTTTTGTAGCTGGGGAGATCTGTTGCTGCTGGGAGGGTATTTTGTTGCAGGGGATCTATTGTTATTTGGAAAAGCTTTTGTTGCTGACTGCAGGGGATCTATGTTACTGCTTTTCTTATCATTAACAAATGCCATACAAATTACTTGGCACCACAAAATGATACTTAGTACTGTTACTAGTAGTAAGGGGCAGTACTGGGAGGTGGGTACGGTGCTTGGGGGGTGGAGACAAGAAACGGTGCTTGGAGGTGGGTACGGGGTGGAGACAAGGAACAGTGCTCGGAGGTGGGTATGGGGTGGAGACAAGGAACGGTGCTCGGAGGTGGGTGGAGACAAGGAACGGTGCTCGGAGGTGGGTATGGGGTGGAGACAAGGAACGGTGCTCGGAGGTGGGTGGAGACAAGGAACGGTGCTGGAGGTGGGTACGGTGGGGTGGAGACAAGGAACGGTGCTCGGAGGTGGGTGGGACAAGGAACGGTGCTTGGAGGTGGGTGGAGACAAGGAACGGTGCTTGGAGGTGGGTGGAGACAAGGAACGGTGCTTGGAGGTGGGTGGAGACAAGGAACGGTGCTTGGAGGTGGGTAGAGACAAGGAACGGTGCTCGGAGGTGGGTAGAGGGTGGAGACAAGGAACGGTGCTCGGAGGTGGGTAGAGGATGGAGACAAGGGGTTATTTGGAGGAGGGGAGTACCTATTATTTGAGAAAAAAAAGCCCTTAGTATATTTATATACTTAACAGACCAAAATGGAGCAAATAAAAATAAGCAAATAATTTTGCCCAGTTGATTTTTGTGGTTTTGTGTGGAATGTGTGAGATTTGGCTTTTTGTTTCCCCACTTTTTGTCATACCAATCCAATCCAAACCAAAGAAAAATGAGAATACCTAAACATTTGTAATTGCAACAATTTTCTAAGTGAAGTGGTGCATTATACATGGAAATGCAGGGGTGCCAATAATTTTGGCCATGACTGTACATATGTTTTTTTTAGATGTGGCCAATAGCTCCTCATTGGACTCAAACAATGATCTTCTCTTATTTGTTCCCTTTTGGTTTGTTAAATATACCACTGAAAGCGTTTTGTTATATCTGTTGATCCTGCCAGAAGCCTTGTGAACTGGTAACTTTCTGTGCCTTCTTCCTTTTCTGACCTAGCAGATAGCTTTGCTCCCAGCTTTTAGAACACCTCCTCTGCATTGCAGATATTGGGAAAGGGGGAGGTGTTCTGTAGTCCTAACATACTTTCTTTCCTAGGGTAACAACGCTGCGCCTTCATAGATACAGTATGGTAAGTGTTGCCATCATAGGACAAGAAGTGTATTATTGGCAGGATCACTAGGTGAAAATAAAGAAATCAAACTTGAAACCAGAAAACTAATCCAGCCGCCACATCCAAGCTGCACTATATATACATTTTCTTCTTGTGTTGAGATCTGATTTGAAGTAGGTATGTATCTCTGAAAGTTTATAGAAGTTTAATGAATTGAATTGTGGTTTATTTTCTAGGATGGGGATGTTTATCGCCACTTATACCTGGAAGATGTATTGACAGGAATTGGAGAAGTAGAAGAAAGGGCCAAGTATGTAGAATGTTCCTTTGGTGGGAAATGTTACCTATGTTTTGTACATGGGATGACCTAGCAGAATGGGAGTCCTGTGTGTAACTTGTAGATCCAGCATTGGGTGGTCAGGTCTTTCAGGGGTGTATTATCTATAGAGGTTTATATACTTCAAAGGAGCCTGCCCTTTCTGCTATACTTTGCATTTGTGTTTCTTTTTCTTTTAAATATTTTTTATAGCATATCTAAACCCACGAAAAAAAAATTTTTTACATTTCGGCCTACCTGTAATTTTATATTTCAGGCTTTTTTTCCTTTGTTTTTTTGTCTGTACATTATGCCAGTAGCACACTTCCTGTCCTAGGGTGACAATGCTCATTGTACTGTGTCTATGGAGGAGCAGAGTAGTCACCCTAGCCCTCCCCTCTCCACCACAACATAAAGGGGAGGCATTTTATAGTCCACAGAGGGAGCTGGGAACAATGTTAACTGACAATGGTGCAGACAGAGAGCACTGGAATTATTGTCAGCTCACTAAATATGTCAGTGCAGCTCGTTGTACTATTTTGGAACAGCACCTGTGTACCAGGATGACTGTGCTGCTATGCATGCACTGGAATGCCATTATCTCACGTCAGCCATTGAAGAAGATGCCTGCACAGGCGAGGAACGTCAGTCCGTTGAAGGATAAGGAAGTATTATGAGTTATCTCCACTTCAAAGTGGTTAGAAACCCATATTTTTAAAATAGCAAACATCCTCCTAAATAACGATCCTCCTATTTGGGGGTCTCCTATTGGCACTCCTGGCTCCCCCCTCCCTGTGCACTGAGTGCCTCCATGCAAGCTGCTTGCTATGGGAACACTTGTGTAGGCTCGCTCCTGAGCCAGCTGTTTGTGTCCATAGACACACACAGTGCAGCTCTGCCCTAGCACCCTTCTCACTGGCTGTAAGTGACAGCAGCGGGAGCTGCACTCAGAAGGTTTTTTACCTTAACCATTTCCCCCCCCATAGGACATACCTGTACATCCTTGGATGGGAAGGGTGATTTTGCTGTCATCAGTGCAGCTACAGCACTGAGCGAGGTATCATTTTTTTTTTAGGGCCAATAGTTTTCCACAAAGTAAAATTATTCCGAGTGGCTTTAGAGCTGCTGACTTACAGGCGGCAGAAGGGGGGACCCCTCCTCCTGTCATTGCCTTTTACTGGGCTCTCCTCTCCCATAGCAGAGCCCAATAAGGATGCAACTGGTGGCATCTGCTTCTTGGGACACAGCAAAAGGAATGGATGTTGTTCCTCCCATTGTGTGCCCTCAGAATCCAGACATGGTGATTATTTTGGTTCAAGGTAAACAAGCCGTTACAGGCTTGTGAAAGCATCTGATCAAATGGATCTCCATAAAAGAAAGAGAGCCTAAAAAAGAAAACTAAAGCAGCCACCACATGTAAAAATTGGTAAGCTGCAATATTATACATTTTTGCTTTTGGGTTTAATATTTGGTATTAACTAAATATAGTTATATATAATATAATAGTGGTATTAAACTAAAATTTTCTAATACATTGGTTTGTTCTGTTTTGCAAGGTGCAGGGCAATAGTTCTATTTATTAATAAGTTATTGTGATACAGAACTTGTGACTTACCCCTGGTTCACATCAATGCATTTTTTAGTGATTTTTTTCAGACACACACTGCAGTCCATTTAACATGGTTTTCTATGGGACACGTTCACATCTATGCTTTTTTGAGCTTCTGAGTTTTTGGAAAGGGTCAGGGACTTTTTAAACGCAAAAAAGCAGCATTTTTGCTAAAATAGAGTTTAATGGAGAAGCTGCATGTAGTGCGTTTTTGCCACGTTTTTACCACATTTTGCATTTTTTTTTCTGCCCAGCAACAAAAAAATTTCCACCTTAAAAAAAAAAAAAATCAAAACACGGGGAAAAAAGGCACATGTAAAAACACAAAGCACAATGGAAAAAGCATTTTAAATTGGATAAAAAGCAAAAAGCATAGGTGTGAAGCAAGCCTTATGTTTCTGATAAGCCTGATGACTAGGATATACTGTATGTCCAAACTAAAATGGCCTTTGTGTTTTATTTCACTTCAGGGTGTCGGAGTTTCAGTGTCAGACCGCAGGTTGCTCTCAGGTCTTTGACACTCTAGAATCATATGAGCATCATTACAACACCCTGCATCGAAATGTCTGCTCCACCTGTAAACGCTCCTTCCCATCTTCCCGACTTTTGGACATTCACATCTTGGAGTGGCACGATTCCTTGTTTGAGATTATGGCAGAGAAAACCAATATGGCATGTACTACCACATTTTTTATTTTATGTAATTCAGGTACTTATATAGCGCCGTCAGATTATGCAGCGCTTTACACATATATTGTACATTCACATCAGTCCGTAACCCTCAAGGGGCGTACAATCTAAGGTTCTTAACTCACATTCATACACACATATACTAGGGCCAATTTAGACAGGAGCCAATTCACCTACCAGCATGTCTTTGGTGTGTGGGAGGAAACCCAGGCAGGCACAGGGAGAACATGCAAACTCCAGGCAGGCGGTGCCATGGTTGGGTTTCGAACCTAGTGCTGCCAGGCGCAAGTGCTAACCATTTAGCCACTGTGCTGCCCCCGTTCTAGTCTTAATAAACCGGTGATGAGATGTAAGCATGTTAGAGTCCATTTATAAGGTCTTACAAGGTAGAAGACTTTGAAAGGAGACATCTAGTGTCACTTTGTATTCGTATAATTAGTGAAACCCAACAGGAACCCTGAAACTTGTGGTGAGCTATTATGTAAATCTTGATCAGCAACTGTGGTCAAGAGCTTGGGCCTGCCCCCATCATGATCCTATGTACATAGGAACGAACAACTAAAATCTACAGGCATCAGATAAGATCTGCTGTCAACAGGTAAAATGTGTTTTGGTGTCATCAATTAGGTGTTGCATTTTTGGGTACAGAAACAGCAATAAAATGAATAAACACCAAACACCTGGCTTATAACTATGAACAATAAACAATTAACTCCAGATTTTTGTGTTCCAATAAATATTCACGTCAGCTTAAAGCAGAACTTCTCGGTATAGGCCGGTTACCACCTTGCCCACATTTGAATCGCAGAGGAATGCACTGTGTGTTCCTGTGAGAGTCAAACCGCATGTAAAACGCACTGCATTGCGATCTGCAGAGGATGTCAATAAAACGTTACAGGCACCCTAAACGTAGTGTGTTTGCCTGCACCAGATCACATGGTACTTTTGTACCACGTGATCTGCTTGGATTGCGGTTTAAAAAGTAGTGCATGCACTACTTTTGGTGCAGTGCGATTTCAGCACCTTCAAAATGAATGGGCTAGAATCAAACACAGCGCATTCCTGTGTGATTCAAATGCAGGCATGGTGTGAACCAGCCCTTTAAGGGAAGTTCTACTTTATATCCACCTTTCCCCCCCTTCGGGGGGGGGGGGGGGGAGGGTACCTAGTTTTGGTAGGTAGCTACTCCCACTTCCATCTGCATGACTAGGTGATTCCACCAAAAGTTCGACCCCCCCCCCCCCCCCCCCACCACTTTTTGTCCGCAACCTTCTGGGACACATCACATGCAGATGTGGAAGCTGGCTATGAAGCAACAAGGAGGACGTGGCCTGGGACTCGCGCACGCATGCACAGGCTTGGCCAGTCAGATGGCTGGATCTCACGAGCCCGTAAGGAACACTGGGTGAAGATGGAAGCCTCTGCAGCAGTGACAGTGAAGTGTTTATAATGATTTTTCTATACACGCTGTCACGGATAAACGCATTCCCACAGCGACCAGCTAACCGAGGTGTGGTCCGTGACATAGGGAATGAGGGGGACTTTGAGCATATAAGGCTGACTTCGACAGTCCGCACTGCCTCTGGCCACCACTAAAAGGGGGACTCCAATCCAGCTGGCTGACCACACACACACAGATACAAATCTTATATACAATCTGGTGCTCTCTAAGGGCTGGGAAGCAGTCTAGCAATTAGCACACCCTTCTACGATTCCTCCAGCTATCCTACAAGCCAGAACCCCGGTGTTAATCACTCTTCCACTGTCCACACAACCCCACGCCAGGTACACAACAAACGGTAGCTTTCCACCACCCAACAATTTGTCCGCAGACTGGTCTGCTGCACCACCACACACACACAGATCTCCATCTGGCAGATCTGCTACTTTACAACCAGCATGCAATCTGCCAACATGCAGTACCATTACATACAGATTGGTAATGAACTTAGACCGAGCACATAGATACAGTTTTTCTGGAGATATGAGCCCGAGCTTAGGTATCCAGAAGTCTCTTATTAATTTTATGATTTAATATCCCGAAAGTGGACAGTGCATAAAATATGTAATAGAAAAAAAAACTTTAACCAAACGTTATCCTGTGACTGGAGCAAGTCAAAGAAAGTCTGCGATTCACCAGTCATATGGAACCGGCTCCATATGAATCACACCGTACATAACTCGGGGTCCTCAATTTATTGAAATATGGATGTGGGCTGCACTTTAGACCTTGGCCAATCAAGCCTGGGGGGTGTTCCCGTACCAGCCCACAGGACGTTCTGTGCTTTGAAGTGCCCAATCTCAAATGGGCCAGGAACGGTTTGAATCACTGGGTCAGGGATAGGATTTCCGCACCAGTGTGTCAGTCCAATCGTAACAGTACCAATCACTGTTCAGCTGTCGCAATATATAATTATTATACTGTTTTATGTGTTTCTCTGGGATTCTAAATAGGCTACAAATAGAGTTTTAAATGTAGATGTAGCCTAAAATGTGTCCAATCAGAAGTATTTACATCTCTCTGAAACTAATATTTTAGCTTTTATGAGAGATTAAATGGATTCCTCTGATCTATTGGTATAATTCAAAGCTGGCAGACCTTTCGAAGCCTTCTCCTGGTCTCCTGCGGACTCTTGTAGCCAAAATTACTAGAATTCTTCTTTTAGGTTCAAGAAGGTGTGCAAACTCTGACTACATAGGTGAGAACGTTTTATTGGCATCTAGGTGAAAACTCTAGCCTAGAAGCTTGCTCTGTCCTTTCAAATGCTAATTAAAAACATATGTCTATGAATGATTAAGGGATACTGTATCTCTAATAACACAGGATTAAACTATATCCACAATTATATACTTCTACAGATCACCTCACATCTCAGCTACCCTACTCTTACATTTACATTACACACATTGGGTTGTTGTACAAGGTGAGGATTTACATATACTTTAAGCTTTGACAATAAAACCTGGAAGCTGATTGGTTCCTGTGTAGAGCTGTACCAGATTTTTCAGTCTTCAGTTTTAGTAAATCAGTTTTAGCAACAATTCTCATCTACTGTATAGTTTTACATGGTAAGATGTATCATTTATGTAAAAAAAAAATATCCATAGTTATTAGCCCCATGTATAAATGTCATGTTATTATCTACTAGATGGTAGTTGGTATTGGAAGTGTATGAAGCATAATTACTGATGATTAACTACTTGCCCTCCTGAGGATTTACCCCCATTCTTGACCAGGCTATTTTTGTGTTACGGCCAGGGGCGGACTGACAACTCATGGGGCCCCTGGGCAATAGGGGATCATGGGGCCCCTGTGTCCTTGCCCAAACTAAAAAAAAACTATGAAAAAGGTACCAGGGGCATCTCATGGGGCCCCCTACTGACCCCGGGCCCTCGGGCAGTGCCCGAGTTTCCAAATGGTCAGTCCGCCCCTGGTTATGGCGCTGCGTTACTTTAACTGACAATTGCGCGGTCAAGAAACGCTGCACCCAAATGAAATTTACATTTTTTTTTTCCCACAAATTGAGCTTTGTTTCTGTGATTTTTGATCGCCTGTGAGTTTTATTTTTTACGCTATAAAAAAAAAAACTGACAATTTTGAGAAAAAAACTATTTTTGACTCTTTGCTATTAAACTTACCCAGTAAAAAAATGTAAAAAAATCAAATTTCATCAAACATTTACGGCAAAATGTATTCTGTGACATGTCTTTGGTAAAAAAAAAATCCCAATACGAGTAAATTAATTAGTTTACGTGAGAGTTATAGCGTTTAGAAATGGCGGTATAGATACTGGGATTTTTCTACTAGTAATGGCGGCAAACAGCGCCTTATCAGTGACTGCAGCGAACATTCTGACACTGGGGGGGAACTGACTTGGTGTCACTGACATCCCCAGTGACACCAATACAATGATCAGTGCTAAAATAGGCACTGACACTGTATTAATGGCACTGGGCAGGAGGGGGTTCACATGAGGGGCGTTAAAGGGTTAACTGTGTGCTTGGGGTGTTTCACTAGGGGGCACAGCCATCCAAAGCAGTGTGCCCGAGCTGACAGGGAGGAGAGCTGTTAGTAAATAAAACCGTTCTCCTCCCCGTCAGAGATCCTCGGAAATCACTGGGCGCCGGTGAGTAATCACCGGTCGGGACCCATTGATTGACGACTGCGAATGGTGGCGCGGGTAGGACACGCGTGCGGCTCGTTTCCCTACCAGAAAATGCTAAATCATGTGTATATATACATGATTTTGCGCACCCATGCCACCCTGTAGTAGTATTTCTGCTATAGGGTGGACGGGAAGCGGTTAACATGTAGTAAATAATTTTGATCTTTTCTGTGTCTAGTTCCAGTGTTTGGTTGAAGGATGTGTGGAGAAATTCAAAACCTCGGGGGAGCGTAAGGAGCATTTGGTCAGGGCACACCTGTATCCTTCTGACTTCCGATTTGACAAGCCTAAGACATCTAAAAAGTGAGTTTGTATTTAGCATTCAATTGCTCATTAACAAGAATCAGATTGAAAACCTCATAGGATATAATCGTGTAAAAGGACAGATCCCTAAAACTTCCAGAATCAGTTGTGCATGCTGTGTATTGTTAGGTGTCTTCGATGACCAGCATCTCTCTCTCAGAAATGTTTGTTTAAAAAACAGTCTAACAAGAGATGGGAAGACCATCTAGTGAAAAGTTTCCCCCCAAATGGCTAAACTTAGAATCTAAATCGGTCACATGGTATATTTGAGCACTCTAGTTACCACCTTTTAGAGTGTTACTAAAGTCTATTTTTTTTTTTTTTTTTTTAAATAATAGAAAAAGTCAGTGATATCTTCCAGCACAATGGATTAAAAATCTGGACAAGTCTGCTTTAGCTCTCATTACGTTTGTAATAATAATGAGCTATACATTCAACACTGTTCTTCAAATAATCTTCCTAACTAAATAAAAGGTTCAGACTTGGTGCTGCCTAGTGTGTTTGCTTCTTCGGCTCCCATCACGTTTGTAATATTAATGAGCCATGTAATAAATACCCTGCTTCAAATCTTCTTAACTGAGGAAAAAGTTCAGTTTAAGCACTGTATGGTTTGCTTCAGGAGGCAGTGCCATATGTCCAATAATAGCCATAACATTGGAAAATCCTGCACCACTGGAAATGAGAGCAAAACAGCATGGCACCATCTTTCTCTTTGGATGAGATGTATTCCTCCTGATATATTTTGAAAGGGCAATATTCTGTGACTGCAGCTTTTTATGTAATCACAATATATGCCGGTTTTTCAACTGGTGCTAGGTTATTTACCAAAGAAATCAGCTATATAGACTAACATTCTGCAACCTCATGCATGTTATCTCTTGCCTTTAAATTCGCAGAAGTTTCTTTGACTGCACACAGTTGGACAATGTCAATCATCAGATAGCATCCAAGTCCTTGTTTGCATTAGAAAGAATGCTTTCCTTCTTGTTCTGCTTCCCCAATCTAGGCATTGAGAGTGTAATATCTATAACTGATCAAGTTGTGGTAAGATAGCTATAATTTAGTCTCAGTAGAGTTGGCAGACAATGACTTGACCCAAATGACATCTTGCAGATCATAGAAAGCTTTAACCCAAAACTTGTGCAGATCCTAACAGAATAACATAAGTTAAATAAAAAATCATAATATGACTAGCTCAATCAGAATACAGAATGCGGTGAATGAGGGCTAAGGCATGGGACTAACTATGCAGATCAACCCCTAACTATGGAGTGAGGCAGGGGCAAAATTATTTAAAGGCAAACAAACAGATAATACATGTCTAATGATCCCTAGCCATATGCACTGCAGCCATAACCAACTGGGAGGAGGGTTTTCTTAGCCACCAAACCCTGGACCCCAATGGAATGATCTCCTTATTCACTCTTGCATTTAACAGACCATGGGGCATTATCATAATTTGATCCACCAGCATCCTTCATTGTGAAACCGTCTTGATTCAGAGCTCTCCAGATGGCCTTGGTCAAGTCCCTAGCGATCCCTATTAAGTCTAACTTTGAAAAAATGTAACCATCACTATAAATCTATGTAATCTTGACTTTCCATGCATCTATATCCAGAGTGTATTTAAAACCTGTCCATGTTTTTGTTTTGTTTTTTATTGTGCAGCAAAAAAAAGCAAGAGGGTAACATAGGCCAAGAACTTTCCATGGACATTACACCTAATGAAAGGGCCATGTTGGAATCCATGGAAATCAGTGAAATGCCTGCTGATGACTGCACTACTTCACATACTTATAGCAGGTCCAGGTAAAGTATCCTGTCACTTGTGCCAGAATATCCATGGGCTACCTTTACACAATACACATAATACTGCACCTAAAGAGTTGGTTGTATAGGGGCCCTTATGTCAGAATAATTCGTTTTCAGAATTTGTGCAGTATATTCAGATTCGTTTCATATATTCTTTGTTCCAAATGGATTCATATTTTCAGAAGTAATTTTGAAAGATCGGCTATTTGTTTTAACGTGTTAATTCCTTATTTGCGAGATTCATTATGCACTCTGTTTGGGTGGATCCATCAGAATCATAACAAGGACTGGAACAAAATTAATTTTGGATTTGTTAGATTATGGTTTAGAAAATCTGATGGATCCACCTCCATCCAAGTAGGAATCGTCTTCTTTCACGGTTATACCTTACTGTATTTATTGCAATATGTTTCCATTTTTAATATGTAGTTGTTTTTTTTTTTTTTTTAATAATAATTAAAAATGTTAATGCAACATAAAAACTAAATGGATATGAGTCAATTAGGAACATTCGTTATGTCATTACATTAATTCAGATGTATATACATTAAGTCTCAAAGTATTGCATCATGTCATCGGAATGAAATCATTCTTTCATTATAATTTGTTACTATTCGGTTGCATACGAATCTCCGAATTTCGATTTTTAACTAAGCAAATCTAACATGTCTAATAGCAGCATGGTTAATAGAAATGACAAATAAATCTGGCTAAAAGAAATAAGGCCGATGGGACAACCAAACAGACATCAGGTTATCACCCAGCTACAGGTGTCAAAATCCATATAACTTTGTTTTAATTATATTACTTCTTCTGCCTTGAAAACATTTCCATAATCTGCTTTTTTTTTTATATATTTTTAAGGGTTCCTTCCACAATCTGCTTTGGACATGGATCTGTAAGAGGATTCAGACATACAAAGAAAAAGAAGTGACAGTCTCAAGTTACAGACAAAAAATTAGATGGAAAATGGAATTGGAAAATTGTGTAACGAAATCTAGCATTATATTCTCTGCCCAGACGTGCCTTTCAGAGAATGTCTTTTGAACTGCATAGTTTCTAATGGTGTTTTTTTTTTTTTTTTTTTTTTTTTTTTTAATCTCGACACTTGGTAAAGAACTATGAGCAAAAAAGAGAGCAGGAAAAAGCATGAAAAATGTGTTTTAAAAGATGTTCAGTTTTAAAAAGTTGAAAAATAAAATCTTTTTGCATTGAATTTAATATTTGATTCAGTATTTTGTGTGGTTTGACTTCCAACTTCCAGCAGATGGGGGTGTTTAGCTACTCTCCAAGGGTAAGGGATCTGGGCTTGGTTAGGAGAGTGGTCATACTAGATGGACTTGAGGTTGTTTTTCAACCTATGTAACAGTTGAGGCACGCTGCCTTGGGCAGCTTATTTACAGTGAATGAGCTGCAGTGCACCTCAAAACATGAAATGATGATGCATGTTGTATTTTTTTAAAAGCACTACACAGTACACCAAGACGTGTGCTGTGGAGTTTCATTAGGCTGTCATTGAGGGTGAATAGCACTGTAGTGCACTACTCAAGTGGTACCACACCTAAATTGGTGTGAATGGGCCCTAAGTGGATGACATTAAGAGTTCATTTACAGGACAATACATGCATTAATGTGCTATATATTGCCTTTTCAGTCTTTAGGGCTATCAATGAATGTATACCGTAACCAAAAAAATACTTGCCACTGCTATAGTGCGCTGCAGCATAGAGATGCAAATGCTTTGTGCATTCCATAATGCTAGATATATTGTAGATTTTTTTTTTCTTAATGTGAATTGTGTTAAGGAAGCCCATTCAGAATGAATGCATGTATAAAGACATGAAGTTGTGTGCATTATAGCTTAATGATATTATTATTATTGCTGTTTCTGCCTTAGCACCATTTATCATCTCAGGAATATAACATTGTGGTAAGCATCCATTCACTGAATCTCTCGTCAGTAATTGACGACACTTTTAATCACGATATCTAGTGCCTTATAAGCGCATAAACCTACCACTTTGTCACTTTATCATTATATTGTATCTCTTAGCGCTGCATTTTATATTACATATTTGGAGATTAAATCTCTTTTCCTCCACAATTAAAGAGTGCCCCCTTGTCCTCTGTGATGACCTCAGGGTGAATAGATCTATACCGAGTTCACTATATGAACCACTGATGTATTTATACGTTGATCATATCCCCTCTTAATCTCCTCTTCTCAAGAGAGAAGAAATTCAGTTCCTCTAATCTTTCCTCATAGCTGATCTCCTCCATGCCTCATATCAGTTTGGTTGCCCTTCTCTGTACTTTTTCCAGTTCCCCAATGTTCTTTTTGTGCATTGGAGCCCAAAACTGAACTGCATATTCCACATGAGGTCTTACTAATGATTTGTACAGGGGTAAAATGATATCTCTCTCTCTGGAGTCTATACCTTTTTATATTTCAATATTTTTTATTGAGAAACAGGCATATAATAGCATAAAACAGGATGGCAAAAAAAAAGGGGTCCACCTACATGGTGGGACATCATATAGAATCACAATCACAACACTGAAAAAAAAATTTGACTAACAATGGCAATAAGGATACACACAGAGTGCCATTACCATCAAGACATACAGGTTTCATCAATCAATAAACAGAGACTAAACCGTAGGAATAAACCAAATGTAACAAAAACAATGCAGCGGATAATGTAGAAAAAGAGAGAAGGAAGAGAGAAAAGAAGGAGGAAACCGCTCCTAAGAAAAAGGAAAAAAAATAAGGGGGGGGGGGGGGGCAGCAGTAAGACTCTCATGATACAGAAATGTAACTAATCTAAGGCTCTCAAGTCCCCTCAAATCTGGACACATCGTCATTGACAATACTGGTAAGTTTATCGTTTACCATTATCCAATTAAGTTTATGTTTCACCCTGTCTAACGGGATCACAGATTGTTTCCAACTTCTAGCTATGGTAATGCGAGTCGCCAGTAAGAGGTATAAAATTAGTTTAGTCGATTTTTTGGGAACGTCAGCGGGAAGTAAATGAAACAAGGCCACTTCCGGTGATCTACGGATATTAACTCCTGTTAACGAATATATCAAATTAAATATGCGGATCCAGAACCTACTCACAACTGGACATTAATAGATTAATACTGATCTTGTTGAATCCAATTATAAAACGCTACTTCGCTGGTATTTGGTTCCTACTCGCTTGGCCAAAATGTACCTTGTTGACCACAGCATCGCAAACCGCTAGATGATACTGAGGGGTACATTTTGGCCAAGCGAGTAGGAACCAAATACCAGCGAAGTAGTGTTTTATAATTGGATTCAACAAGATCAGTATTAATCGAGATCTTCGATAAAGTATGAGCCGCATTCTGCCATGTATCTAAATCTAAT